TTTTATTTAATTACATACAATCTTGGTTAGTTTATTTAGTATAAACAATATAGCTTGGTTGTTTTGGTGAATACTAGATAAACCTAGGGTTGAAATTAATCAAATCCAGAACGTGTCAAAATTCTTGAGATGTTTTAATTAAAACTTTTAAACTGAACTTTTGACCTGTCTGGATTTCTATTAAAAAAAAAAAACACCCTTTAGTTAAGTTATTTAAGATAAGATAAGATCAGATAATTTAGGGAGTCAAGCAGAAAATGGTTGTTCAGGCCTCTGCCTGGATTCAATAAAGGATTAATGGGGTGGACTCACAAATTTGGTTTTCACCGATTCTATTTAGAGCAAATGGTCCAGTTTTCCCACACTAAAAATTGATTCTGAAAGCCAGAGCCGCAGTACCTATTTAAAACCAAAAAAACTGTCTTGTCTTGACTTACCAATTAGGTATAACAAAACGTGGCACTAACCAATAAGCAAAGTAATTCACACAAAATGGAAGCCAAAAATTAGATAAAAAAAATTTAAAATATAATATTTATATTTCAAAAAACAGATAAGATAAGGTTTAACAGTAAAAACTTAATAAAGATAGGATAATCTGAATATTGAAAAATCCATAGGGGAGAAATTCACAGCACAAAAATTATTAAAAAAAGAGAACTTGCCTGGCCAGAGTGTTGTTCAAGAAGAGAACGTTTTAGAAAACCAAGCTAGCAGGAAAACGAACCTGTGTTTTTTATACTTACTGCATTCCAGCCAGTTTGAACCAATCAAATGAGTACACTCCCAAAGACCATATTCACTTCAAAATGAAAACACAATGAAAATCGCATGGAATAAACGAAAATAGTTAAAAATCCACTAAAACTATTTTAATTGTTTACAAATTATAATAATTTAAATTAAGGTTATGTCAAAGATAAAAGACTGTTAATTAATTGGATCATTAAGCCAAAAATGAATATTTAAAAATCAAAAGTTAAAAAAGGACAGAAATATATCCATTTGCTAAAAGTGAGATGAATATAATTTCTTTCAATTAAAATACAAATAACTACCAAATGCGAATTTTAAAAATCATCAATGAAATATAGATCATCGGGCACTAGATGGCAGCACTAAAAAATCAATTCTCGATACTTGCATTTTACCGAGAATTTTACGCAAATGTGGATAGATGGCGGCACTTGTATTACCTGAATTTAAATTTGAAATTAGTGGATATTTTTAGAATATTGGAAATTATTTTGAATTCTGAAATGAAAAAAAAATACAACTTTATAATGGAAATAAGAAGAGATGGAACATGTTACGTAAATGATAAATTTATCGTAGCAAATTCAAAGGCGGATGCCTTGAGTAGTTTGCCATTACCTTGTCCTGAGGCTGGTTGACTCTCAGGAGAAATATGATTATTTTAATTTTTTGGAAACATTTAAGTCTATTGATACTTATAAAATAAGATCGGAAATTAGGCGGTATCCAGTAGTAGGTCAAGTCTTTAATTTTATAAGGCATGGATTTCTCGATCGCAATGGAAACGAGTTGTTAAAGTAAGATTTCATAAGGAAGTCAAAGCTATGAAATTATCGAGTAGTGATTCCTGTTGAATTGAGACCTCAACTTTTATCTAAATTACATAAGGGTATAAGTGAGATAAGATGTCAGATCATATTTCTGGTGGCCCTCTCTTGATAGAGATAGAATTTGTGCTAATTCTCGACCTGAACCAAATATATCACTCTTAATGTCTTGTGGTAAATCGATTTTTTTCTACGAAAGAGTTCATGGGTCCAATTAAGGGAAAAATTATTTCAATTATCAAACATACATATTCTAAGTGGCCTGAAGCTACGGTCATAAAAAGTACGGATGCCCAAAATACCATTGAAAAATTTTGGGAATGTTTTTCACGTTTTAGTCTTCCTAGAGTTGTCGTTACGAACAATGGGCCACAGTTCTGTACTGAGGAGTTTTATAGGTTCTTAAATTTAAATGGAATGACTAAAGCATCAAACTTTGCCTCCGTATCACCCAGCAACCAACGGTATAGCAGAGAATGCAGTGAAGAATTTGAAAACACATATTTTGAAGGCTTTTCAAGATGACGCCAATAGCAATGCTTCATTTGAGACTGTAATGAATCGATTTCTGTTGCATTATAGGAATTCGGTGCAAATTTCTACTGGTGTCACGCCTATAACACTTTACTTTTTAATCATAAGTTACGAAATATGTTTGATTTACTTACTGAGGGAAGAATGAACAATAATCATAATATAAACTATCCTGGTAGGAGAAATCAAACTTATGAAGAGGGAGATACAGTTCTATGTAGGGACTGCAAAAACCCAAATAAGAAGAGTTGGGTGGAGGCTAGAATTGATGAGGTTTTAGGTGATAGAGTTTATCTTTGTAAAACTTTAAAAGAAGGTTTTGTGTGGAAAAGGTTATCAGCCAAATTCTAAGTAGTTATTAGAGTTCTGAGGCCAGTGAGATTGATATGGTTTTGAATTATCTGCTTCCGGATGATGACGAAAACGAAAAAAATCAGGAAAATACTAAATATTTAGGAGTTTACATTGATCAGCATATGAAGTGGAATGTACATGTGGAGTATGTTGCCTCAAAATTTAGAAAACTTTTAGAGATATTTTGGATATTGAAGTTTAAAAAATGGTATATCAGGCTCTTGTGGAGTCAGTAATAGGTTATGGTCTAATTTGTTGGGGAGCTGCCTGTAATATAAGTATTATAAATTCAATAATAATTGCACAAAAATACTAAAAGTCAGGCTGAAAAGAGGAAAACTATTTCCTTCTGACCTCTTATTTGAAACTACAGACTTGCTAACAAGACAATTATATTTGAAAAACATTATTAGGTTTGCACATAAAACAAATTTATTCCCATCTTTTATTGATCACGATATTTAAATAAATTAATGATTTGATTTGATTATCCTCTGCCTAATATTGAAGAGATTGTTCGTGCTGTGGCAAAAATTGAGATGTTTTGTACTAGGTATAGATTCACAAATTCTTGAAAATATTACGGATTTCAAATTTCGGAGATAATAAACTTCAAATTTGTGGGTATTTCAAAGGGTACGGTTTCCAATCCAAGTTTTCGAGTAATATTTTCAACCAAGTTGGAAAAAATAAATTCAAATATTGATTGGTAATACGCCATCTTTTGCATAACTGAAGCATATGAACTCCTAAGTCAATACTTTCATATGTTTATTTCTATTTTTAGACAATAAGTAGATGGCAGTCAAGCATTTTGCGTAAGTATCGACTTTTCCATTCGACCTTGAAAAGTATTCGACAAGGACAAGCGCCACCTTTCGTACATCTGAATTATAAACTCCCAAATCAATACTTTCATATTGATCTTTAGTTCCATTTTGTATTGATTCAGAAAAGGGTTTCCAGAAATAATGCTTCATAGATGGCGCTATACATTTTGGAAAATAAAGAAAAATCACATATGCTATATTTTGTTCCATTAAATTATTAGGGATACGTTTGGAAACATAATATTGTTGGATCTAATTGTATATTGTTACCATATAAATTTGAGAATCAAATAATAATTCAATCATTGTTGCAGTTGTTAGTCAATTTTGGTGGCCTCTTTTGACGTATCGGAACACGATTTCTCTTGTTTTGTACCATTGGTACCAGAATATGTGTACAGTGTGATTTTTTAAGTATGCAACATATGGGGATTTTTTTTAGTAATAGCACAACCCAAATACAAACAATGCCAAAAGTTGGTGCATGTCTGATAATCATATTAGGTGCACTTAGAATGTTTGCAAGTCAAACAGCATACAGGGTAGCTCAAACAATATTAAAGCTGTATTGTAAAGTACCCTTATTCTAGAAAATTCAGCCAAATGTTATAGAGAAAAGTTGTTTGAAATTAAAAGTTATGTCTAAATACCAAAACATAGCTTCCTAAGATTTTTTTTATTTTTTTTCGAAAAAAATCTATAATTTCTAATTTTTTTTATTTTTTATTTCCGCCTTCAATACTTTCAAAAATTAATTAAAATCAAATCAATTTTACATAACTTTGTTCAAATTCAAGCATATTTGTAAAATTAACTTAGATTTTTAATTTTTTATGGAATCACAAAATTCATGTTTGTTCAACACAACTTTAAAATGTCGCAATTTTTTCCTTAACATGTTAAAACATTACTAATAATAATAGCCATATTAAAAAAACTCTCCTCAAAGTGCAAAAATTTTATTTTATCTAAGTAAATATTAGTAGAATTTTGATATTTTTTGAGCCACCCTGTATGCTGTTTGACTTGCAACCATTCTAAGTGTATATTTTCTTAATAATTAAATAAGAACTTCGAAAGTTGAGTGGTTTGTTGAATCAAAATAAGTTAATTCTTCTCAATAAATATTCAATATAACTCTGGGCTCAATGTCCATCTATGCGTCTAGATTTGCGTTTCCCTGCTGTAAATCCTAATATAGAATTCAAAAATTTAATAACAACAACTCCGAAAACAAAAGTTGAAAACAAAATTCGCACGTAACGCAAAACCCAAAAAGTTTTTAATAAATTATCGGCAACTTTTGTAATTACAATTCAGCACTGCCCCTTCCCCCAAACGAAGCTGATTAAATTTCAACTTTCGACATTTAATTTTGATAATAAAATAACGAAATTAAATTGGTCCAGTGAATTTTAATCTTGATTAAATTTGAAATAATAAAATCGAGTTATAAATAATATACGCAATTTCTCAAACAATTCCTATAATTTTATTCCCTATCTACAAGGTATAAAATACTTGAAAACTCCTTAAATAACTACTCATAATAATTATAATAATAAATCTCAATAGTTCTATACAAATTTATACACAATTTAACACTAACTTAAAAAATAAATATTTATTATTTTGTACAAACAAAAAAGGAAAGTTAAACTTCAACTTCGATGGTGCGACGTTTGGCTTTCGCCAAAGATCATGCTTGGTACACTGTGGTAGTCAGGGAGTTGTTTTGTCTTAGGGTGGTTGAACGGGTACTACCCCTGTTGTGGTTCATTATCAGGGTTCTTTTGCCGTGACGTTTTTTGTGCGAACATAGTAGGAGTTCACGCATTCCCCTAAAGAAAAAACAAAGTAATTATAATAACATTTTGCACAATAATTTTCAGAAAGGAATATTTGCTTTGTAAATATTTTTGCTTTGAGTTGCTTGAGTTTCCTTAATAAGAAGCAAAAAAAAACTTCAAATAAAGGTATTGTGCCTGAAATTCAATAAACAACGATTTATTGAAATGTTACCACCGATTGTATAATGTATTAAAACCTCTGAATATAAAAAAGGTACAAAAGCACCATTAAAAACTGGAAAAGTGTATTTTTCGAGAACGGAGCAGATCATTAATTTGTTTTTCTTTTGATATGCTAAAGCACTCTGAACATACTTTATGAAAAATAATCCGAGAAAATACCAAATAACCCACCCTTGTGTAATATAATGTAAACTTTATGCATTCAAAATCTATGGCCCTAAAGTTTGTGCTCAAGATAAGAGTAACTAACTTGTATTGTTCTATTTCCGTTGTTCTGCCTAAGATGTGGCCGAAGTTCGTTAAGATAACCCTTTCTGATGAGTTTGAACATCAATCACTTTTGATAAAGGTATGCTGAACTTTACGAGTGTCTTCCCAATTTAAGAATTTATATCTTGTGCTTGCTTAACACATCATCAACAACGTATGCAGAAGTTATCAAATCAAAATTGAATACTATAAAAATGTCGAATAATATATTTTCAATAGATATATTGTAACGGAGTTACTAGATTTTTTCAGAAAATGTGTGCGCCTATGACTTCAATTTAATTAGTTCAATTCAACTATTTGCGCTAGGTAATTTTCGGTTAACCCCGCGGTAGTGATTTAACTTGATTATCGTATTTTTAATTATTTGTGTAACTAAAGCCACACATCTTTTCTTTGATTTGAAAAAGAAGCGCGGCTTTCTTGAATATCTCCCAATTATTATTCATTTCCAAATATATCGATATTTTCTGCGTGACCTTGCTACAAGTAGCAGTTTGTATGGTCACACGCTCGAAGCTTCACCGTTGACTTTGGTCCCATAATAGTCGAAGCGCGCACCATGGTATTTTCTCCCACTAGGTTGCCCTTCCATCCTCGAGCGTTCTTCTTACAAACGAATGGCGTTGGGTTAAGTCAGTCTGGCCCGAGTTCACCAACTGAATAGACGCTTCCGACTTCCATCGAATACCGAGGTAGGCCTTCTCTCCGAAATACCGACTGGTACCTGTTCCACGGAAACGCGAGTAAGTTATTTTTCATTAATAATTGGTAAGTAAATTATATTCTTTTTTACTGACAGTTTTCTCTAAGATATTTATTTTTATTGTCACGGTTCATTTGTACGGACAAAGTTTAAAGTTCTAAAGCTGTCACGGTTTACGTGTACGAACAGTTTCTTTGCATATATTGGTTCATGTTTTACTGTCATGGTTCATTTGTACGGACAGAGTGTAAGGTTCTATAAACTGTCACGGTTCATGTGTACGGACAGTTTTCTCTAAGATAATAATTTATACTGTCACGGTTCATGTACACGGACAGGGCATTACTTACACCGCCGTTACGGATAATGAGTACGAACGGTTGATTCTAACCGATCTAAGGTTACCGTATTGACCAACCAAGTAAATTCATGTCCGTATCCGAGATGTCTTACATAAAGTGTGGAGCGGGTACCTACATCAGTATTCGAAACAGTTAAAACCGTTATAATCTAACCGCTATTATATGGCATGACCGCTACTAACATACATATTTTCACTCTCTTCATTGCACGCCCGCTTCATTCACTCTGCTTAAGGAATGTTTTATTTCAATACAGGAATTGCCTTATTTACTGTTATAAATTTGTAGCAATCAATACCAAACCTCAATATTGATTTCATGTCTTCTTTTGGAGTTTTCTGGAAGATTTACAGGACGTATAGATGGAATAACTTCCAGCATCTAATCCGACCCCTGATCTCCACTGTAACAAGCTACCTGGAGCACGTGGGCCTTCAACCACAATAATCCTGAGGATGGCGCCCGAGATACCCGTTAAAGTAAAAAAAAGAAAAACCGAAAGGGCGCTACAAAATTGGCGCCCGAGCAGGGACCTTCAATTGCTGGAAAAAGAAGTTTCCACCAGACTTAGTCCACTGGCCAGTCCTTTGTGAAACTCAGAGTCCAGATGACAGGAGGCAACAGCACCGTTGGCGGCCCGCCAGTTACGAGTTCCACCAATGTCGTTGTAGTTTACAACCAGACCGTCTAACACAGTTGTTACCATCCCGACGCTAGCTCACCCCCGGTTGGTATGACCCCAACGATGTGTGAGCTGGGAATATCAATTAAAAAAGGACGATTTGCTTGTGGAGCTGAATAAATTCGGCCTAGAGACTACCGGTACCATTGACGTTTTAAAAAAGAGGCTAGTTACCTTTATTCGACTAGAAAAAGCTACACCAGCACCGACAACAATGACTGGTTTTACATTTACAACGTCTCCGAACATCGCTGCTTCGACCGTACTAGAGCTCATCCGACAACAACCAGTCCATCTGGTACAAGTCAACCAATTTTTTCCCCGGTACCAACTATTACCATCCAATCACCGATTTCTCCTGGCACTCATGGATCCCCAGCATGGGTCCCCAGTAATAACAATGAAGGTTCATAAGTGGAATATCCATTTTGATAGACGGACCGACCCTGTGACGTTCTTGGAGAGACTTCAGGAAATCTGTACATCCCAGGGGATTATCATAGATCAACTTACTTACATTACTACATATGCCCGAATTGTTTCAGGGAGAGGCTTCTCTTTGGTATCGCAACAACAATGGAATACTTGGAGCGAATTTCTGCAGGATTTTCGAAGTTTCTATTTTCCAATTAATTTTGCTGCCGACCTAGAGATTGAAATCAGCCGCTGTTTGCAACAACCTACCGAGCCGACACACCGGTATATTAGCGACTCACAAACTCTCATCCGGAGGCATGGCAACATCACCCCAGACCAAGAACTCTCTATACGAATTTGTTACCCGAATATCGACAACAGCGACGTTACCGATGTGGTTTCGCTTTCCCGCACGATAAGAGAAGTCGAAAGCTTATTAGAAAAATTGAAGACAGCGATTCCGGTAACATCCACGAGTACGCACCGTCCACCAGCCAGCATTACGGTGACTCAAACCCAGCCAATTCCGCCCTCATCAAGAATTGGACAACAAAACCAAAGTTTACAAAACCAACGAACAGAAAGGCCTATGAGGACGGAGGCAAGACAACAGAATTACCGAACCGAAAAATGGTCTGACGCCATGGTTTGCTGGCGATGTGAAGAATTGGGAACAGCCGAACAGAATGTCGAGATACGGCCAAATTATTCTGCTCTCGTTGCGGAAAAACAGGCACAATATCACGAGACTGTAACTGCAACCATAACTGTTCGGGAAACTAACCCGTTGCTGTCCTAGTCCGAGGTCAGCCCAGCACCTAACACGGAAAACCTCGAGTAAAGCAGACCCTCCGCAAAATCTAAACCTGATTCGTCTGCCAGATTCTAGACCGCATGTGTGCTTTTTCATCGAGGACACCCCGTTCTCGGCCTTAGTCAATACCGGAGCCGCTAACTCATACGTGGGAGACCTCGCTGCAAACATATGCCGCCTCAACAACTACCTCAAAGTACAACCCACGGTGGTGTAATCGACATCTCCAAAGCTTACCAGATACCGTTTCAGCTTGGAGATTTTGCCTTTACCGAAATTATAAACTACTTTCCAAACTTGTCATCCGATATTGTGCTGCGGATGGATATCTTGAACCGGCACCAGTTTCATCTGGACCTGGGCAGTGAAAACGTTTATATACAAAACCGTCTTTTGTCTCCTCCTAACTTATGTAGTCCTATTGGTCCAATAGATGGCACCCCGAACCTAGAATTGACATCCACTGAGAGGATGCTTTTGCAGAAATTCCTGGACCGAGAGTTGCAGAAAGGAACCACTCCTTTAGTGGTACATTTGCTCAATCCGGAACCGATCCAACAACGTTATCGCTCTCAAAATCCAAGAATGCAGGAAATTGTTAACACCAAAGTTAATAAAATGTTGGAAGACGGAATTATTGAACTATCAAATAATCCTTAGTCATCGTGAAAAAGAAGGACGGAAAGTACCTACCGTTTTTGCATTGACTTCCAAAAGATAAATAAATATCCGCTTCCTTTCATCAACTCCATCCTGGATAAACTAAGGAGAGCCCGTTACATTTCCAGCATCGATTTAAAACAAGGCTTTTTGCAAATACCTCTGTCGGAAGAAAAGAAACCAATCAATGCATTTACCGTACCAGGAATGGGCTTGTTCCAATTCCGGGTTATGCCCTTTGGATTACACTCTGCACCGGCTACCTTCCAAAGGCTAATGGACCGTTTTATAGAACCGGAACTAGATAACTACTGTTTCGCATATCTGGACGATATAATCATCCTTGGCGAGACTTTTGACGAACACCCACAAAACTTAGAAGAAGTATTCCGTCGACTAAGAGAGACTAATTTACGGCTTAACCCCGAGAAATGTGAATTCGGAAGTCGATCCCTGCGTTACCTTGTAACATCAGATGGCATTCGTACCAACCCAGAAAAAGTGGCGGCAATTCGCTAGCTTCCTGCCTCTAGCAAGCTCCGGAGCTTGAGACGTTTTCTGGAAGTAGCATCCTGGTACCGACGATTCGTACAAAACTTCTCACAAATCGCAAGCCCTCTCAACCGACTACTCAAGAAAAGAATTCGCTGGACTTGGACCGAAGTTGAACAAACGGCCTTTGACACCCTTAAGAAAAGTATCACGGAAACCCCGATTCTGGCCTGTCCGGATTTTTCCAGACCCTTTGTGTTGCAAACCGACGCATCGGATTAGGAGTTGCACCCAAAAGCTCTAATTCAGCATAGTTCCGACGGCGATCACGTCATCGCTTACGCAAGCCGTGGTTCCTCCGAAACGAAATTCTCCGTAACCGAGAAGAAGTTCCTAGCCATCGTCTGGGGAATCGAGAAAATGCGGCTGTATTTGGAAGGTTACCATTTCACCGTTGTCACCGACCATCAAAGCCTAAAGTGGCTACACTCTATGAAGAGTCCGTCTGGGAGATTGGCCCGTTGGAGTGTTTATCTTCAGCAATTCGACTTTGAGATCAAGTACCGCAAGGGAGTACTGAATAAAGTCGCCGATACCCTGTCCAGAGATCCGATATACCCTCCCAAAGTTGCAGAACCAGAACCCATCGTAAGCCTGGAAGCCTTTGAACTATATCCTTGGTATAGTGCCAAAAAGTCTTCCGTAGACAGCAATCCTGTAGCTTATCCCGACTTCTGCATCAAAGATGGACAGCCATACCGACATTTTTGGGACATGTCCGACCTTACCGAGGATAGGATAACTTCATCGACCCTTGGAAGTTATGCGTGCCCTAATCTGCTCGTAAAGCCGTTTTGGAAAGGAATCACGATCTCCCCACCGCTGGTCACCTTGGATTCGCCAGAACTACCACACGCATTGCCAGGAAAGACTATTGGCCTGGAATGTTCTCGGCGAAACCGAAACCAATACTTTCACCATGCCCTTAACAACATCCTCTGAGGCATGCTCTCTACTTCTCGAGCTCGAAGACTTTCTGGACGTGGACGTGAAGGACATACCATCACAGAGGTCTGCTTCCCGAGAGACCCTCCCCGAAGTCGAAGGGGTTTTCGTTCAGACCGGAGATTCTCCAGAGGCTCTGTCCATCTCCACTATACGCCGGCCGATCATCAGCCGCAACACTCTTCCCTGCCCAGGACCGGTCTTCTTGCCCAACCATATGGATATGATATATGGAAGTGCCACGAACGCGGTCACCACCGATATTCTTGCAGAAGCGCGGCTTTTTTGAATATCCCCGAATTATTATTCATTTCCAAATATATCAATATTTTTCCGTGTGACCTCGCTGCAAGTAGCAGTTTTTATGGTCGCACGCTCGAAGATTCACCGTCGGCTTTAGAACCATATTAGTCGAAGCGCGCACCATGGTATTTTCTCCCACTAGGTTGCCCTTCCATTCTCGAGCGTTTTTCTTACAAACGAACGGCGTTGGATTAAGTCAGTCTGGCCCGAGTTCACCAACTAAATAGACGCTTCCGAATACCGAGGTAGGCCTTCTCTCCAAAATACCAACTGGTACCTGTTCCACCGCAATGCGAGTAAGTTTTTTTTTATTAATACTTGGTTGGTAAATTATATTCTCTATATTTTTACTGTTACGGTTCACTTGTACGGAGTTTAAGGTTCTATAAACTGTCACGGTTTATGTGTACGGACAGTTTTCTCTAAGATATTTATTTTTATTGTCACGGTTCATTTGTACGGACAGAGTTTAAAGTTCTATAGCTGTCACGGTTTACGTGTACGGACAGTTTCTTTTCATATATTGATTCATGTTTTACTGTCACAATTAGGCTCTCCAAACCACGTGATTTTTCAATATGGCGACCGTGGAAAATTTGACGTTTGTTTGTTTATCTTGAGTTTATTTAGAATATTTTCAAGCTAATTACAGTTTATTTTGTTATAATATACTTTTTGAGATGCAGAGTGAATATTTAGAGACTTGAATGCAGGAAAATCGGGATCTGTGCGAACTATTATGGCGTTTCCGATTGGTAGATCTAGTGTGGAACTAGTGCAATTTTTTCTATTTCTGTCTTTTTCTTCTACAGGTTGATTAAAAGGATGCAAATACACTCAGTGCGCACTGAATCTACCAATCGGAAACGCCATTAGTTTAAAAAAATGTCCAGATGACATTTTGATCCACAGTTCACATTAATGAGCAAATGAAGGCCTACAAAAGCTTAGATTCTTACGAATATTTCGAAAATGGCTTTATTTCAGATGCAGGAACAGTGGTAGTGAAAAATTTTCACGTTTTAATTGGAAAATTTTGAAACAGAGGCAATGAAAAAAGCCTGACATCATCCTTGTTACATTGTTGAAACTACTTCCACAATCAACTTCAAGACCCGTTTGTGGTATTTTTAATTGGAAGAAACACTAATGAAGTCAATAAAATAAAAAAATAAACAGAGTTCATTCACAAAACAACCACAAAATGCACTTTAAAAAGCTTTAAGTTGCATACTCTCATATACGGGATAATGAACATCCACCACAACGCACTTGTTGACAGGTCGTTGGAATGCCTAATTCATTTGTACGGACAGAGTGTAAGGCTCTATAAACTGTCACGATTCATGTGTACGGACAGTTTTCTCTAAGCTAATAAATTATACTGTCACCGTTCATGTGTACGGATAGGGCATTATTTCCACCGCCGTTACGAAAGATGTGTACTAACAATTGATTCTAACCGATCTCAGGTTACTGTATTGACCAACCAAGTAAATTCATGTCCGTATCCGAGATATCTTACATAAAGTGTGGAACGGGTACATCAGTATTCGGAACAGTTAAAACCGTTAAGATCTAACCGCTATTATATTGCATGACCGCTACTAATTTTCTATTACTCACCGCTTGCCTAAAAGCCGCCCGTTATCATTAATCTATAGGCACACACACATACATATTTTCACTCTCTTCATTGCACGTCCGCTTCATTTACTCTGCTTAAGGAATTTTTAATTTTAATATAGGAATTGCCTTATTTACTGTTATACATTTAAAGCAATAAATACCAGACCTTGATATTGATTTCATGTGTCTTCTTTTGGAGTTTTCTGGAGGATTTACAGGAGGTCTAGAAGGAATAACTCCCAGCATCTGATTCGACCCCCTGATCTCCACTGTAACAAGTTACCTGGTGCACGTGGGCCCTCAACCACAATAATCCTGAGGGTGGCGCCCGAGATATACCGTTAAAGTAAGAAAAGGAAAAACCGAAAGGGCGCTACACAATAGATATATTCATGCACTTATCTCAGGATATTGTTTAATCAAATAATTAACAAACTCAGTGGCAATATGTGGCAAAATAGCTTATCACGTTGCATATTTCCTTGTACATGAAATAAGCGGTTCAAAGTTAATGTACTGAATGGAAGATTCCTTATTAAGTTTAGCGCAAGGAGAAACTTGCCAACGGAATTTTAATACTTGGTGAAACTTTAAATGCATCTGTGTTGTCAGTGGCGTAGTTTTCGTTGGATGAAAAGCTTTACAAAATTAACTGAGATCAAACTATGTTAGATATAATTAGTTTAATCAACTCGAGATTGGACTCCGGGCAAATTATATATTTTATTTGCAAAAAAAATTTAAACTTACCTTCTAAAATTCTTCGACAAAAAGGCATACAGCAAAGGATTGACTCCGGAATTGAAGTAGGTAGACAGAAAAGTAAGCGGAGTAAGTAACGCGCTAAAATTCGTGTGCCCTTGATAATTCGGCGACCAGTATTGCCACATTTTCCTTGCGTGGAAAGGTAAGTTGCAAAGGGCAAAAGCGCAAACAACAATTATCAGCATCTTGATTACGCCGCGTCTCGCTTTCAACACGTTCTGAGTCAGATTGGTGTTCTGCACGTTGCCGTTTGCCGAATTGTGAAGGAGATTCTCGTTGCCGTTGGAGTTCTGTAAAAATGAAACAAAAATCTAATTAGAATACATGTTTGACTCGTTTATGTTAAAATATTCCTTAATTAAACCAAATTTTCTGAGAACATCTGGTATACAAAACTATATTATTCCAGAACGGCAAATGTTGGCGCTGTAATTGGAAATATAAACAACTGGAAATCGAATTTCTTTCTGCCTCTGGTAGTTTATTCGAGTCTGTAGTTTCAACAGTTTTGTTTGAATTCAATTTTGAAATTAGGATTTTGCTAATATTTGATTTTCTATATTTGTGTCACACGTTTCAAGTCGTTGAAAATTGAAACTTTTAAGGGATACACAGGTTTTTAGAGAACCTATAACTAATTTTTTTATTTTGTTTGTTCATTAGAATCATTTTGTCTAACCGGATCAATAATGAATATTTGGAATAGGTCTCATCATATTCAATATTTATAATCACTTTAAATTGATTATTGAGAAAATCTATAGATCTCATAACGTTCTTTTCTCAGTACCTGTTGCTTCCTAATCCATAATGTAACCTACTCTTCCTAAGTAGTCAATGTTTGCTCTTTACTTTCCACTACTTATTGGGCTACGACTGTATTTCTCTTTTCCAATCTAAATTCCTCTTCTATCAGAGAAGAGGTAAAGCAAACAAACACAAAAACTGTTGAATTTTTTTTCTCTCTACACCTCTACACACAATCTTATGTGCGAAAAGGGCATATCTAGTTAATATTAATCCTGTTGACGTTCAAGAACAAACGTGGCAGGCTCTTAACGAGCTTAAGGTGTAATCCAGAAAATCAGTTTCTCAGCGTTGTGCTTTGTCTAATCTTGATGATATAAATGGCCACTTTATAAATTCTGTTAATGCCTCGAAATAACCCTGAAATTCTTGGTAAAGGATTAACAAACCAACTATTTATGTAGGAAAAATATTTCATGGAATCATTATAATTTATAAAATATAAGCCTGGACTCATATATCCTCCTTGTCGATTATGTCTTTAATCATATAACTTTTAAAAAGTATGTGGTCGTAATAAGGTCGAGAACTCTTAGTTGATTTTGTGTCCGGTATCGATAACTTACGATGGCTCTCTAAAGTTTTAGAAACTTTGTGCAGAAAACTTCATGACTCCCATTAATTATTATTGTACTAGAGATTTTTCTTTAGTTCTCTTGTTGAAAACTACTTCGCAAAACGCAGTTTCCGAAATGTATACTGTTAAGAAAATAAACAGAAATTTCAATTATTCGTTTTATTCAATCACTTAGTTTTACCTTTACAAGTGGGTCTCGATTTAAATAAAAAAGAAAAACCAACTTTACTTATTACATACATACATGCAACCAATGGCTTTTTTGCACGCACATATATACATCACTATACATGGGACCAACCTACACGAAATCCTAAATCAATTATCGACTATCTAAAGTCGGACAGCATACTAACTAAAGAAAACCGATTTTAGAGTGATGAGAGGACCTGAATGCCATCAACTCACCATATACGCTTGGGAAAATTTACTTCTCGAGATCGAAGGTAACAACAGAAGAGTTCAATATCAAATATAATTTGGAAAGCCTTAACGATAACTCAACAAAATTCTTATACCAACTGCGACTTGCTCAAAAACTCTCGACAATACAAGAATATAGCAAAGCAAACAATTTGTACGAGGAGATTTAAACATGTATACACCAAACAGCAAACGAGGCTCTAGGACAAAAAGAGCCCTCAAGGAAACCGAATAAATTTGCACCTTGGTGGATCAACATTCTAGAAGAGGTAGTAAATGAAAAGAGAGCACAGATTAAAAGCGCAAAAAAACGACTTTTGGGAAGCAGCCTGAATTTCGAACTGTCAAAAGCCGCCCCAGTAAAACTAATAGAGATTCTTTCGAAGATCTTCACCAAATGTCTCGAGGAGAACAACCACCACTAGACTAGAGGGAAGGTTGATTTGGAAAAGGAACCTAATTTAAGAAATGGAAATGGGTTTGATATCCAGGATCTTCCCATTGAGTTTGATGATGCCTTCTTATTGGAAAGTGAGCAAAGAGAAACCAATGATGAAGATGTAAACAATGTTGAAGATTGCATTTTCATCAATTCAACAATGATGAAACTGAGGCTGACGAAGATAACGAGAACTTTGAAGAAGAGGATGCAATTCAGACTAATAATATTGATGCTGAAACCAATGATGTGAGAAAAGTAGAGAAAAACTTTGCAACGTTATCGATCTCCAAATACAGGAATAAATTGGACTGTAAAAACTATAAAGGGATCACCGTCACACTCTCAGTAGCCAGATTTGATGAACGTATTCTAAAAAACAAAATAGAAATCCAGTCCCAAGAATCAGAAGAACAACATGGTTTCAGGGTAGGACGTTTTTGTATAGATGGAGTGTTTACTCTTAAAAATCTTTTAGAAAAAGAGTAGAAAGAGGCATACAAAGTTCACCTGACCTTTGTGGACTCTTCTGTTAGTACATGCCTATGACACGGTGCTACTAAGTTGTGGCCAGCAATGCGTCTAAATGAGATAAACAACTCATATGTAAATGCTGCCAAAGCTCTGTATACCAATACATACAGCTCAGTCAAACAAGATTGATAACTTTCCGAAAAGTTCCCAACAACAAAAGGTCTAAAGCAAGGCTGCTCCGTTGCTCCACTGCTTTTTAAAATGTATATTGAGAGTGTTCTTAAATCACTGTTGTTTATGGCACAGCCAGTCCATCATTTCTGGCTACGAGATGTTTACTGCAACTTTTCTTTGATCATTAGAATTTCAATCCTCAAACTTCAGAGGTAATCTATGTCTCTAATCTTCTTACAGGTGCATCATCCTTAGAGGAAGTAGTCACTCTTGCAAATAAAGTTAGTTCAATTTTGCCTTATGCGCGCATGGAACTCAGAAAGTGGAAATCTAATTCTTCTGAAGTGTCGGACGGTATTAAATCCAAATGCACTTCAACTGATCATTTCTATTTTGGTTCCACGAGTACGAGTAAAACGCTAGGCATGCTATGGTCCAGTTATCCCGACACTTTTTCATTTTTCATTGCGAATCCTCCAAATACAAAGGTTATTACGAAGAGAGTAATTCTTTCTGAAACTGATAAAATTTATGATGCTCTTGGACTAATCAGTCCTGTCGTTGTGAGAGCAAAAATGTTTCTCCAGAAGCTTTGGGCTTGGAATCTTCCTTGGGATGTGGAGGTTCCTGAGGAGCTTGCAACCAATTGGAATTCATTCAGATCAGAACTCCCAGAACCTAACAGGTTGCAAATTCCTCGACAAGTAACTTGCAAAAATATCGGCCGAGTGGAATTGCACCGGTTCTCCAATGCATCGCAGAGCGCCTACGGTGCATGCTGGTTCTAATGTATTTGAACCATAGGTATGTTTCAAAATATACATGTTCAGTTGATCACTTATAAAATCCGTGTAGCCCCGCTTGATTGATTGATTGAGCATTCTGTAGCTCACCTTCTATCATAACTCTGAACAGCAAAGTCATATCATCGTTAACCTTTTCCCTTGATGTTTATTTCTGGAGCGACTCGACAGTGGAACTTTGTTGGATTCGATCTTCTCCGCACAATTTTCAGGTCTTTGTCGGAAATCCTGTTACCGATATCCAAAAGGTATCGACACCAGAGTTGTGGAGGAACGTTCCTACTGAGCAAAATCCAGTGGACCTGCTGTCAAAAGGCACGTCACCTTCGCATTTTGTGTTCAGTCCAGTTTTTGGTTTTCTGCACCTGATTGGTTGAGTAAATCACATTCAAATTTGCTTTGGCTAGTAGACATCACATGTTACAGGCATGTTCCACACGAATAAAAATCGAAGAATTACCAGAGGTTTGGAAAAATATTCATTCCTTTGTGAAATAGTTGAAACTGAGATATTTCCCTTTAAAAGATTTTCGTCCTTTTCAAAATTACGTAAAATCATGGTATACTGCTTACGGTTTATTAAAAAATATCGCGTTCCCTCTCTAGAAGATCTGAGGAATGCAGCTAATCAGTTGATGTCTTTATCGCAGCAGGAATCATTTCCAGAAGATTGCAAACATCTCACTAGTCTGAGTGTGTTAGTAATGAAAGTAGCATACTAAGCCTTGCTCCATTTTTCATGGACAACATCATTAGAGTTGGGACAGGCACTCACCCTTTACCTTTGATAAAAAAAACATCCAGCATTGCTTCCGTTTAAACATCATTTATCTCTGTTACTTTTTAGATAATATGAACATTCTAAGGCCTTTCATTGCGGTTCACAATTGCTTACTTCTAACATTCACTAAAACAATTGGCCCACATCTGCAAAGAACCTTGCCAAACGTGTCCTTCGCAAATGCATTGTTTGTTTCAAATACAAACCTAAATTTGTTCATCCTATGATGGGTGATTTACCGAAACCCAGAGTATACCTACTTTCGCATTTTCTGACGTAGGGGTAAACTATGCGGGTACCTTTTTTTACAAGGATAGGTAAGTTCGCGGAGGTCGAACATTCAAGTGCTACCTGTGTCTTTTTATATGTTTATCGGTAAAGGCTGTTCACCAATTTCATTGGTGCAAATAAAAAACTCAAGAAGATAGGTCAGTTTCTAAAATCAAGTAGGAATGATATCATTAAAAATTTTGGTGATGACTTAGACATAAAATGGCATTTTATTGCGTCATACTCCCCTCATAAAGGAGGAATTTGGGAAGCAGGCATGAAATCTGCAAAATCGCATTTGTACAAGATCCTAACGGTTTCTCCTTTGAAAGTTTTTGTACCATTTAACACAAATATAATGTATTTTGAATTCAAGACCTTTAACAAAACTGTCAAGTGATCCCACAGATTTAGACGCATTAACGCCATCGCATTTTTTAATCGGCCGGTCTTCGCGCTCCATTCCTCAGCCTGATTTAACAGACACCCCAACCAATAGACTCACCCTTTTTGAAAATATAGTCAACTACTTAAGTAAATAC